TAGTATTTTTGAAAAGTTCAAATTACACCCTCATGGTTTTGTTAAGTTAATTAAAAGTTTAATTAAAAGAGAAAGTTAATAAAACCACCTAGTATTTTTAAAAGTGTAAAATACACCCTATACTATATATATGTAACATTAAAAGTCTAATATTATATATATATATATATATATATATGAGTAAACAGTCAGTCTTACCATTAGTAGGCCTCATTCACGAAGCTGGTCTATAATGGGTGTTTAAGGAAATTGCCTATAAAATGGCGATTGAATGGGTATCCACTCCTACCCACCACACTCTTGACTAGTGGAGGTCGTTAGCCGAACGGGTAGGATAGGACGAAACCTTCCATTATAAGTATAATGAAGTACAAAGTAACTAAATGCTTTTATAAATTCCCAAATCATAGTTATTTTAGGCAAAATGTGAAATTGTATGCTAATCCATGGAATTACACTTCACACCCTTGCAAAACGTTAGTGGAGCGTGCGTGGTTAACCGACACACTAATTTGGGGTTGACATTGGTTGTGAAGGGTGGCTCGATGTTTATCATAGATCAATGGAGCGTGTGTGGTTAACCGGCACATTGATTAGGTGATAGTATCATTGAGTGCATAACGTAGATTCGTATGGTTGTTCACACCTTATTTGTGATCCTCGGCATCCCAGTCACAAATAGAAGGGCATAATCGAGATTAAACATGCCATTGAAAAGTTCAATGAATCTCAAAAGATCTAGGAGTTTCAATTCATTTAAAACTTAAACTTCATTTTTGTTTTTCATGGTGGAAATTGGTAAATCGTCATTTACCTACCTTCAAATATTCTGCAACTAGATTACGGCATCCCTCTTCTAGGTTGTAGAGTATTGTGTTGGATCCTAGCCTTTATGTTTCATTTGGGTGTTACATCAAGGATTCTTATCAACTAACCTGAATTTTCTCCCGTTTTGTAGATGTCTAAATCTTACAATGGTCTCCCCAAGTCCCTTGGAACAAGCTTTCCAAATGAAGATGACGTTCCACGATACGATCAAGGAAATGAGAGTCATGCTTCACTTCCTCCACCTCCTCCAATTATTCTCCCTAACCCTCAAGTTCAAAGGCTTGAAAAGTTCAATCTCACTCAAGCCCTTTTGGCAAGTAAACACGAAGATGGGAAACCTGTGTGTGCACACATCTTAGAGATGAAGTCACACATTGATAGGTTAAGGATGATGGGTGTCGATATCTCATAAATGTTGACTGGGTTCTTCAGTCACTTCCTGAATCATATAGTGAGTTCGTTAGAGAGTACTATATGATGGACCATGACGTGACCCTCATTGATTTGACCTATTTGCTTATAGCTGCTGAATCAGAAATGATTTGGCGTGCTGATCAAGCAAATTTGTCTGGAAAATCAAACTCCCAAACTTCAATGGACATTGAAAATGGTGACATTGGAAATCCAGAAAAGGTAAATTCTGAGATAGTTCCTTGTGCCATTCCAAAAGAGTCCATCTGCTTCTACTGCCAAGAGAAGGGGCATTGGAGACGAAGCTGCCTTGTTTACCTGAGAGATCTAAGAGATGGGAGAGTCAAGACGTATGGCTCTACTTCAGGTAAAATCTATTAACTAACTCTATAAGTTCCTATTCTTTGATTCTTAATACATGATGTGATAAGATTACATTTTGATGTTTTTGCAGGATCGAAGAAAAGAGAGGAAGCTTAAGGAAGAAGCGTGCTGAATCTGATCATGAAGAAATGGATTTCGATCGCATGGACTCGAGGATCAGATTTTTGAGCTGCAACTCTAGAGTTAGGGTTTCATTAACTCTCACGTACGCGCCGTGTACATGCATGTACGCCCCGTGTACGTGTCCGGAGTCACGACCAAGCCTCGCATCAGTACGCTAAGTGTACCCCTTGGTACGCTTCGCGTATTGGCCAAGGACCAAAATGCAACTTTTAAATAACACAAGGGAAATAATGAAACATACCAGGATTCAAGTGTTACAATTATCCCCCACTTGAATCATACTTCGTCCTCGAAGTCCGCTGCCCTGAACAACTCCGGATAGTGCTCTCTCATCTCATCCTCGTGCTCCCAAGTCCAATCCGAACCCTTGCGGTGCTGCCATTGCACCTTCACTAGCTCGATAACCTTGTTCCTTAAGGTTTTCGTCTTCCGATGCAAAATCGCCACCGGTCTCTCAATATAATTCAGGCGGTCATCCACCTGAATATCCTTCAATGGTACCACTGCGGAATCATCCACTAAGCTCTTCCGCAACTGAGAGACATGGAACGTGCTATGAATCTGGCTGAGCTCATCTGGAAGATCCAATCGATAAGCAACCCGGCACACTCGTGCCAAATCCCTGAAAGAACCAACGTACCTGGGGCCCAGCTTGCCCCGCTTCCAGAACCGAGTGACACCTTCAGGAGAACCATATCTCCCACCTGGAACTCTAAGTCTGACCGGCGCCTGTCAGGATAACTCTTCTTCTAACTCTAAGTTGTCTGGAGCCTGCTCCGAACCTGCTGAATCAGCTTAGTGGTCTTGAGTACCACCTCGGTACTCCTTATAACCCACTGACCGACCTCGCCCCAACAAATCGGGGTCCTGCACTTCCTCCCGTAGAGCATCTCAAAAGGAGGTCGATAAATGCTGGCATGATAACTGTTGTTATACAAAAATTCCGCTAACGGAAGATACGTATCCCAACTCCCACCAAAATCTAGAACACAAGCCTGCAACATATCCTCAATGGTCTGAATCATCCGCTCACTCTGACCATCGGTCTGTGGATGGAATGTTGTGCCGAAATGGAGATGAGTGCCCAAATCGTCATGAAACTTCTTCCAAAACCTGGAAGTAAACCGAACATCTATGTCGGAAACCACCGATACTGGTACCCTGTGACGTGCTACAACCTCCCAGATATAAACCTCGACCAACTTCTCTATAGAAATACTCTCCTGAACCGGAATGAAATGCACGCTCTTGGTCAAACGATCCACGATGACCCATATCGAATCAACTCCGCGTGCAGTCCTGGGAAGCTTCGTGATAAAATCCATAGTGATATCTTCCCATTTCTATACGGGAATCTCCAATGGATGCATCTTGTCGTGAGAAAGCTGATGCTCAACCTTGACTTTCCTACAAGTCAAGCACCGCTCCACGAACCAGGCCACATCCTGCTTCATGTAGGGCCACCAATAATCAGGACAAAGATCCATATAAATCTTCGTCGCCCCTGGATTAATGGAGAACCTCGACTTGTGAGCCTCCTCCATCAGAATCTGGCATACACCGCCCCAATACGGATCCCAAAATCGTCGATGCAACGTCAACAATCCATGACTATCATAATCGAAGGAAGCCACCTAACCCACAATGCACTCGTTCTTTCGGTGCCCTTCCTTCATAGCCTCGACCTGAGCCTCACGAATCCACTCTAACAATAGAGTAATCACGGTCATCCTCATACATATGTATCTGGTCGGAGCTGCGACCGTCTTGTGGCTGAGAGCATCGACCACAACATTGGTCTTCCCCGGGTGATAAAGGATCTCGCAATCATAATCCTTCACCACATCTAACCATCGACGTTTCCTCATATTCATATTCATGTTGAGAGTATGTTGCTATTAATTGTTGTTATTATTCATTTTATATAGTATTATTTTCAAGCTGAAAGTATGTTGCTATTAATTGAATGATATGGCTTGATATTTAAAAGGTGTAAAGTATTGTTGCTTTGTAGATTATTGTTGATCGTAATCGAGATGAGAAATGAATAGCTTAAGGAGCATCATGAAGAATTTGAGACAAAAAAACAAGAAATAGCCAAGATTACCCATCTAACTATACTTTAACACTTTTAATTTTTGTGATTGGGTTTTGGTACTTTGAAATCGAACATGTACTTTTATTTTGCTAATTAAATAATTATATTTATTTTGGTAGTCGAATTTTAATGTTTTGAATTTGGGGTATAAGTTCTGAATCACGTTTGTGAAATCTTGTTATCGAATAATGACAGATTCAAAACCTACTAGACCATCGTTAACATCGGAAAACTGTTCATTTACTAATAATCAACGACAAAATAGCGACGAACATCAACGACAAAATGTAGAAGTACCCTGAGTAATTTGTGTCGGCGCTAATTCAATGCTGAATCACTTGTTGACAATTAGCGATAATGGTTTTTTCGACTGACATCTACGTCGCTAAACGTTGCTGAAAGCCTTTAGCGACGGAATTGTCCGTCGGTGATACCTCTGTTTCTAGTAGTGTTTGGTCAAAAACTCAAAGAAAATTGTGGATTTAAATTTGACTACTCAAGTTTGTTAATATATAAGTTATACATATTTTAAAATGTCCTAATGAAAACCGAATCGTAAAAAACTGATACAACTGAATTGTAGTTTAGGTCGGATTGAATTTAGTTCAAACTATTCAAATTTTATGTTTTAAAAATCAAAATCAATTTATTTTTGCAGTTTTAATGGATCAAATAGATATCACTATTGGTTGTTTAGTTTTAACCTAACAACATATATACAATATTAATTTTATTATTATTCTTTAACATATAGATAAAGATAAAATTATTATATTGTAAATTTAACATCCAGATTGCTTGTAAAAAATGCATGTACATGGGTCACTTTCGTGCTACCATGTCGGCTGGTCCCGATATCAAACAGAAGGCAAATTAATATGTCTACAAAATAAAAAAGATGATACACGATCTTGAATTTTCAATTGATGTGCGTCTAGAACCAGCTGATAGCTGGTTTTAGGGCCACTAATTGAATTTTAGATCTATTAACGTGAACGTGAGAAATATGGAAGAGTTATTTAAGAAAAAAATATTAAAACAATAGACTTTGAAAATAATAATAACAATAAATGAACAATATTTTATTTAGCTATTTGTCCGAATTGCAACTTGGAAGATGCTTTTATTTTTTCCTATGAAAATAGAAGGAATCACCGGTTGGATCGTCTTGATAAACAGACGAAAAAGTTAAAAGCTATGCAAACTCCATTGAAGGTGGCGGTCATCGGAGCTGGACTCTGCGGGCTAATCGCGGCTCGGGAGCTTGAAAGAGAATCCCATGAAGTCGTGGTATTTGAAAAAGCCCACAGATTGGGTGGAGTTTGGGTCTATGATCCAAGAACAGAAACGGATTTACTGGGAGTCGATCCACATAGAGAAATCATTCATGCAACAATATACAAATCTTTACGTACAAATAGTCCACGTCAAATAATGGGATTTTCAGATTATCCGTTTCAAGGGAAAGAATACGGTGACCCACGGATGTTTCCTGGGCATGAAGAGTTTTTAAGGTATTTGGAAGATTTTGCTGAGAAATTTGCAGTGAAGAAACTCATTAGATTCAATTCGGAGGTGACCCGAGTTGATTTCATTTGTTCAAGATATGCGTTTCAAGTGGAATGGAAGAGGATTCCGGTAAGTTCGGCTTCGAGTTCAAACTCGACTGAGGTGTTTGATGCGGTGGTTGTTTGTAACGGTCACAACAGTCAACCTAGGGTGGCTCTCGACATTCAAGGTATGAAGTAAATAACAAATTAGTGGTAGTTTAACTAATATTTAATTATATATTTTCTTATTACATTATCAATTTTAATTTCCACCTAGATGGATATAGTTTAATTAATTTCCCTTTGAAATGCTTATATTTTATATAATTTTCCTATTAAAATTTTAATATGTGCAAGTTGATATATATATATATATATATATATATATATATATATAATATATTATATATATATATATATATATTTTAAAGTGAGGACACCTTAAAAAAATTGAAAAAAAATCTAAAAAAGTTCAAATTATAAAATCGAGCATTGTACTATATCCGGGAGAAAAAAAATTAGAAATTTGTTTTTGCATCATTAAAACTGAATCATGATTTTTTAAGATTGTTTTTCAATTTTTTAAAGGTGTCCTCACGAGTCCTCACTTTAAAAAGAGTCCTCATCTGATCATGTTTCTCTCTCTCTCTCTCTCTCTCTCATATTATATATATATATATATATATATATATATATATATATATATTAGTTGAATATAGATATATATATATATATATATATATATATATATATATATATATATATATATATTCAACTTTTGTTATAGGACTTGTGGGTTAACAACCCTCTATATTATTCAATTTTTGAAGGTTAAATAACTAACTCATATATATATATATATATATATATATATATATATATATATATATATATATATATATATATATATGAGTTAGTTATTTAACCTTCAAAATTTGAATAATACAGAGGGTTGTTAACCCACAAGTCCTATAATAAATACCTACCTTATTTAGCTTTATTCATAAACCATAAAAAGCTCATAACCTTGACCTCATAAGCTAGAGTAGACAATATCTTCACCTTGCTATTGAAAATCAGACAGTTCATGTACGTCCATATGGTCTATATTGTTCCCTTGAATTTGCTTCAAGAATATGTTGTCCATATCATACTATATGAAGAGATTATCTCCACCAACATGTCAAATGAATCGTTCAAGACAGGAAGATCTTTCCACCATTTAAGTAAAGGCCACACATCTCCTTAGCTATGGGACATTTCTTGAAATGTGTATGTTGTTCTCCTTGAAAGTGTTGCATAACGGACACGAGATGGATGTAATGATAACCCCCTATGTGTGTGGTTGAATCCGATGGACAGTTTATCGAGTCTCAATTGCAAAATAATGATACTTATTTTCCAGCAACCACCAAGATCGTATGGTGTGTAAGTTCGTAGGATACATCAAATCATTATCAATTTCATTCCTTAAAGAAGAAAAGCGAACTCTGATCCTTCATTGAGATTCCAACACCAATTACTTGTCATTGAGTTGCCTTATGTGTCGATAATACTATAAAATAGGTACTTAAATCAATTTTGAACTTCTCCATGTCTATATTAATCATGTTAATTCTGCCCCAAACATTGGTTCGGTTACGACTTGAAATTGACATTCCCAACTCTCTATGTTCGCCATAAATGCATCTGATTACTTTTTTCCAAATTGTATTCATGTTATCCCTAAACTGTCACCACCATTTCATTAGAAGAGGAAGATTTAATGTTCTTAAGTTCCCAATTTCCAAACAACCAAGTTCTTTGGAATTCATCGTTTTGTCCCATACAATCCAAGTGAAGTTTTTGCTAATAATCATAATAGTGTCCCATAGGAAACCATTTAAGATACTTTCAAGATTTTCTATGACCTTTTGGGACTTTATAGATTAAGACAAGGTACATTCTAAGGCTTCAAAGTACGGACCTAACAAGTGTCAAACGCCCATTAGTTGAAAGGGTTCTCGAATTCGACCTCGAGAGTTTTTTGTTATATTTATCAATAAGGGGAATCTGCATGGACACTTTACTCGGCTTTCCTCCTACCCACATGCCAAGATAAGTGAATGGAAGTTCACCTTCAACACACTTGAAACACATAGACATCAAAGAGACCTTCCTTATGTGGACACTAATTCCCATTAACGTGCTTTTATGAAGGTTGTCCTTTTGACCATAAGCTAGATGAAAGCAAGTAAGTATTATTTTAGGGTTTTTAGCTTTTTCCCTAGACCATTTCTCCTGAAATATCACATCATCAGCGTATTAGAAAAGGGAAATAATAGGCTCAAAATTAGGCATTGCAATCCACCCAAAGATACCACTGTTAGTAGTATCTTCTAATGCCACTTTGAGACCCTCGATGACAATAATATAAAAAAAAGAGGGATAAAGGGTCTCCTTGTCTCACTCCTTTTTCCTTGAAGAACTCCTTGATATAGGGGACATTTACTAGTATTGAGAGTTTGAGACCATGGAAGAAGAGAGAATAACCCTTTTTCAAGTTCTCTATGTGGCCCCAAAACCCATTTATCACATGATATCACCCAAGTAACTCTAACTATTTGAATGAAAAGCCTTGTCATAGTAGACCTTTAACAATACTATGTTTCCTTCCTATTTATAGCCCACAAAATAATTCCATTGACGACCAAAGGAATATCCAAAATTTTCCTATTGCTAACATATGCTAATTGCACGCCACTAACCACGAAACATATTACTTTTTTAGTCTACTTACAAGTGTTATAGAAATAATTTTGGTGACACGCCCAATGAGATTTATTGGGCTATGCCTAGTGAGGTTGAGGAGGTCATTAGATTTAGGGACGATGGAGATAAATGAGCAATTACTCACCGAATTAAGGACTTTCTGTTGTTCGAAATGCTTAACTCTTCCACCATATTACCCTTAATAATATCCTACAAATTCTAAAGGAATGTGAAGGATAATTTTTCCCGACCCATTCATTTTCATTACTCGAACCCTACATGACGTCTTTGATCTTGTCCAAAGTGAATGGTGCTTCCAAGAAAGTTCGATCGTGAGCCTTTAAGATACAAAACCTAGAGCTTCTAAATCGCGATCTACACATAATGTTTTATTTGAACTTGTTTGTGAAGAATTGGTAAACCTCATTTTTTTTATAATAATCGGATTCGTATTCCACACTTCGTTAATATTTAGCCCATTGATGTGAGAAATCTTTATACTCATATTGAACAAGCCATGGAAGAAACTTGGATTTTCATCTTTTTCAAGCATCCATTTTCGCCTCGTTTTTTTGTCTTATGTCAAGAAATCTAATATATTTGTAACTCTTGAATGTTTAAAATAATATATGATCTTTCTTTTTTGGAGGTTGATGGCTACAACGAACATGTCTAAAGCCACAAATTTGTTCTTTAGAGTATGAATTTATTCCCCCTTTTTTTATATCAAAATGCCACTCTTTTTTATTGTTTTTCCGAATTCTCAACATTAGAAACAACCTCTCGATCTTGGAAAAACCATTAAGCCATTACTATGTGCTAACCAAGAAGCTTTGATCAAATCCCCGAAACCATGAAGAAAAGAACCTTAAGGGAAATTGAGCAAAGTTTGGACTATTGGTGTCAATCATCACATGACAGTGATCCAAGTGTAGACGTAGAAGGAAAACTGTGTTGAGTTAGGCTAAAATTGAACGAAAATTTTCAAAGAGGGTATACCAATCAAGTTTTCTAAATTTAGAACCCTCCATATTCATCCACCTATACTTCCTCATGCTTAAATGAAGATCCATACAACCACAAGTGGCAAAGAAGGAATTCAAGATGTGAGCGTTAGTGATCAAGAAAAATCAAACCTTTTCTTTCATCCCTAGTTCTAACTTCAGTGAAGTCACGACATAAAATCCAAATCCTCTCTAGATCCACGACTACCACGGATGAAAGTTGATCCCAAAGACTGACTTGTTGCGTTGATTTTGTAGGGCATATATAATAACCAATCTAGACTTCTCTTTAGTTCAATTCCAAGTTCCAATGATAGCAAGGTACCCTTTACCTTTTATAAATTAATCCTGGTTTAAGTGATTTTGGATCCCAAATGGTCAATATACCACCAAAATCCCAATAAAACCAATGCAAACGACATTGTGGCCCTTTATCCCCACAATTATTGAATACATGTTTCGCTGACAGTCTTGCTTTTGGTTTCTTGAATACAAAGGATATTAATTATGTAATTCTTGACCAACTCCCTGACCCATTTGTGTTTTCCATTCTTACCTTACATATTTATGTTTAAAGACATATATTTTATCATGGGATTATGATTGCACCTTGCTCATTCACTACCTCGTGAATCAATTATGAGAATCCATCCATTTGAAATCTAGTGATATTTCCCATAACAATAGTTTCTTGAATTTCATTATAAGAAGATAGTTAATTTCTTGAAGTCTCTTCAATATTAGGCTAGATAAGCGACATACCTGAACTCCATTTCTAACGAGAGTTAATAGAAGCTATTAAACTTTCTAAATCAGAGGATGTATCGACTTCCCTGTATGTTGAGAGAGAGAGAGAGAGAGAGAGACTCTTTTTACAGCAGAGACCCCCACCCCTGAGAAGTGAGCATGTGTGCAATAGGTCCCATTTTTTTAATTTTCCTTCGATATTGACATGGTACTAGATATTTTTTTGAACGATGATTATATTAAGCAAAAACAAAAGGCTCATCCTAAAAGAGAACATAAATGTGAAACAACAACAAAATTACATAGTTTTAAAGGGGCAATACAACCAATAAGCCCAAATACATGTGGGAAAACAACCCCTAAATTTAACCCAATTATACACCGAATAGATAATTTCATCCACCGTTTTAGTAGGAGGGATGATGTTGCTGTTAAAAAATTGCTCATTCCTCGCTTCCTAAACGAACCAAGCAATCCATATGTGATAGCAATAAAAAAATTTCTCTTTTTTGGGCATCTACCCCAATTGGCAGCATAACCAACAAACTCCTTGACCGAATTGAAGTCTTGCAAGGGAATATTACACCAATTGAAAATACAATATATCACCTCACGAGAAAAAGGGCAACTCACCAAAAGGTGATCGGAAGTCTCAGGTCCATTAGCACACAGATGACAGGAAATAAAGGCATTAATACCACGACGCAATAAGGCCACCCCCGTGGGGATACGATCCAAACAAGCGCGCCATACAAACACATAAATTTTTATGGGCACCAACTTAATCCAAACTATAGGATTATTCACAAAATTGATATTTCATCGTGCGGCCCCCTGTTTTTATTTTATTTTCTAGCCTCTCGTTAGCTTTGTTTCGAATAAAATTGTTTTTCTGCTAGTTCAAAAACTACAAATTTAGTGATGTTATAGTTTTACATTTCATTCCATCGGGAATGAAGAAAAGGTTTACTAATAAAGAAAGTAAAAGAATCACATTTATTGGTTAAGAATTCGTGAATAACGTTTTTTCTCACTCCTAGGAGTGGACGGTGACTTTCTTTCTCGTATTTCACAAGGGAAATTTTAAGTAGACCTTAGGTGTGTCCATAGACACCCCTTATTTTCCGTAAGTTTTATAAAGAACTTTGGGCTATTAAGAGCTTTCGATCCATATAATATGTAAAGGTGGGCTTCAAAACTTATTGTGATAAAAGGTTGTATCATGGAGAGACCTTGTATGCCTTAAAATTTTTTTTTAAGGAACATCAAGCTTTTGAGAGCTTTATGTCCAAAAGAAATTGTAAAGTTAGGCCTCAAAACTCATTGTGGATCAAAAGTTGGGACCATAGACACACCTACGTGGATCAAAAGTATAAAAGTGGGCCTCTAAATTATTGCACGCTATTGAGATATTTTCATCTATATAAAGTGTAAATATGGGCCTCAAAACTCCTTGCGATCAAAAGTCATATATTATATTATCAATACATAAGTACATTTTATTAGGGTTATAAACGAACGGAACCTGTGAACCGTTTGTGAAATGTTTGGCAAGAAGTTTGTTTGTATTCATTTTTTAATAAAAGAAAGAATATGAACAAGATTTTTTCATTCGATTAATTAAACAGAAGATCATAGCAATGGTCTTGTTTGTTTGTTTAAGTTCGTGAATGTTCATTTATGCTCGTTTATGTTCGGCTAGTATATTACATTATACATAATATTATTAACCTGATGAGGGTGAAAGTGGAACTTCTAAGTGATTTTTAAGTTTTACAAGATCTATATTTCATACATATATTAAAAGTGACACTCTTAGTTATGATCAACATATCCAAATGACAATTAACTTTTACGAATTTTGATTTGGTTGTTTATGTTCATTTATGTTCGTTTATTTTCATATATGTTTATTTATGTTTTTTATTTAAATTTCGTTTGTTTATATTCGTGTAGTACCTTAACGATTATAAACGAAGGAAGATGAATAAAATATTTTGTTAAATGAATGAAAATGAACAATAAAATTCATTTGTTTATATGTTTGTGTTAGTTCATTTGTTCGGTTAACTTAAACGAATGAACATGAAAAAGCCAGTATTGTTCACGTTCATTATATTCGATTACAACTCTACATTCCATTATTCTATATGTTATATTATTCCTGAAATTATCCGAAGACAACAGGAACGTCCCAAAAATTACAAATAAGATTTTTTATTTAAGATAGATTAATCAATAAAAACCCTTTACTTGAAATCATGTTATAACATCAAATTGTTTGAAAACTGTAACACCCAATTTTCACATTCCAACACATTTAATATAAATTGTTGTTTATAAAATTCGAAGTAGAGATATATTACTTTTAGCCATATTAATCATCATAAACATGTAGGAAACTTCAATACGATTTTCGTAGATATATAGAACGCCCGAATTCGACTTCGTATGAAGAAGTTATGCTTCTTCAAAGTTTCGCGATTAAACCGACACGGTTATGCTCATTGTAAAATACGAATCCTAGATAGATTACTTATTACCCTAAGTAATCTAAGCGAAATTCGTAGTAATCGTAAAACCGAGAGCGTGCATATAGAGAACGCCTAAATCTGACTTCATATGAGGAAATTATAATTTTTCTAAGTTTCAGCGTAGTAGTGTGCGACACAGAAACCGAAATTAAGATCAGTCAATCGTTAGGAAGAACAATCTAAACGAGAATTGAAGATCTCAGTGATATGATTCCATCGATATAAAGACGGTCGAGAACAGAGTCCGTATGAAAGAGTTATGAATTTTGCACGGTCGTTAGCACTATAATCTTCGTAGACTGTTAAATTTAAGTTGGGCTGAGAATTTGCCGACAGAGTCTAAATGAAAGTTGTATTACTCGTCAATAGCTATGTATGGATATCAAGAACATGTACAACGAAGATCGTATGAGAGAGATATGAATTTTTAAAGATCTGCGATTTTACCCGACATCGATGGCCCAGGAGCTGAAACGTGGCTTACCCAGCTCCATCCAACCTACCTACCATAGGGCGCGGCACGCCACCCTACTATAAATAGAATTGCTTCAATTTTCATTGTTCCTCACCCCTTATTCACTCCAAAAACTCCGAGTCTGATATTTTTGAGTTTTATAATACATTAGCAAGGCTCTAGAGTATTTAGGAGCCCGACAAAAAGGAGCTTCAACGTAAATCCTGGTTTTCGCTATAAACTCTCTGTAAGTTAGGCTACACTTACTACGATTTAAGTGTAACTTATATTTATATTCATAGTCGTTGTTATGAATGTATAAATAAGATTTATCAGTAATTCCAGTTATAATATTGATTGATCTACTTACCGGAGAGGTGTCTAGAATGGTCACATTGGCTTGGTTGTTGGATTTCAGAAAGGCTATATGCCGAAATGGTCCTATCTCCCAACTGTCTGGCATGGATGATTGTTATTAGATCTAACTCTCCTATCCACAAGCATACATCGTACATAAAGATCATGCATATCATCTAATGGCGCTCTGCCTCTAGCTTATAGCCACCACTACTACTCGCTCTCAGCCATCAAATACTACCGACTCTCAGCCGCTGTGAAGGCATTGAACTCTCGCCGAAACTATATCCATATTAAGGCTAATGCTAATACTAACAACCGCCTCATCATCACGTAGTTATATGCAGTTGAGAGTCGGATAGATAGTCAAACAAATGATCATTCTCTAAAGCCACAACCAAACAAGGGAAAAAAAGACAGTCTAGACTAAGAGTTCTCAAGTTATCCAAATTAAACTACACACAACCCCTAGGGTATCTATGCAACGATCAACCAATATTATCATTACCATAACCAAACATGACACCTAACAGTATCATACAAACAACAGGCAAGACACTACCAGTCTATCATACCAATACACCAAGTGTCCAATACTTTATATACATAACAAGGAGTGATCCTGGCCAACTAGCATTCTTGTAATCTAACATTACCTTTAACCTATCATACAAAGGATATACAATGTCACACGTGGTATAGTGAGAAGACTCACTTGAATCGCAGAATTGAAGAATCGCAGCTATACTCTCAACTCCATGTACTGATCAAACCCATGAACTGACTATCACCAAACAAAGATCAAGCCTCAATCAACAATCCACACCCTTCAAGTTTGGCCTAAGGTCAAACTGATCCAAAACGTCAACGGTCAACAAAAGTCAACGGTCAACCAGGTCAACAGCCACCATACAATGGTGAGTCCTTGACCGCGCCTTGGCCAAGTCCCGACAAAAGAGTCGAGTTGAAATGCACCACCACGTCATGGGTCTTCCTTGGCCACACCGTGGTTTCTGCCATAACTATCTTTTCTTCATTAAGAGCTTAATCCGTTAAGACAACTCCAAATACTTTCTAGAAGGCTTAATGACATCTTATTGATCCATAAAAATCATAACTTTATGGGCGTGCATGTCCAATGCATTACCTCCTCCAAACTTAGGTCAAAATGGTGAAAATGGAGTCAAAACTCCATGCATGGCATCAACCAAGTGAACCACTTCAGACCTAAAACATATGATGTACTAGGGACCTCAGAGAGTGATAGAGTTGCAAACTTTATCACTTCCAACCTCTCAAAAGTTACATAACATTAGAAAACTTGTTCATTTTCTAGATCCAAAAGAAGGGAAACATAAAGATAGTGTCTTGAATACTTACAAAGGTCCAGGACCAAAGAGAAAGTTGCACAATCACTGGATTTAGCTTGCTTGCACCACAACTCCTTGATCCTTCTACCAAAATGACAAGATTCTCACACAAAACTCAAAGAGGGGCTAGGGTTTCAAATAAGGATTATGGAGGTTGAAGATAATGACCTAACTCTTGAGTTTATGCCTTTAAATACGGACGAAACACTAATCTTCATGGGCTTTGGCTGCAGGGCTCACCACGCCATTGTGCCCAATCAGGCTCAACCTCATTTAAGTGATATGGTCATGCCGTGGTCAGCCACCTTCCACGTAGTGGCATAAGGTTTTTTCCCAAAGCGTTATCTTTGAAATCCTTAAATCTTCAATCGGTTGAATCGGGAAAACAAGTGTTACAGATAACATGTTACTACATTTAAAAGAACAAGTGATATAATGCTAAATACCCCATTTAATGAAGTGCTAATGCGAAAAAGCAGTTTGAACTAAACAAGATTGGTCTGTACACGAGTAATGCATATACTCGTTTCTTAAAGACTTGGTTTTGCTATATTTTCTACATAATATCTTAACACAAACAGGAATGCATGAATGGACTAAGAAGCAACTGCATGCTCATAATTATCGAGTTCCTGAACCTTATCGAGATCAGGTATATAATGTAACAAATATTTAAAAACTAATTATTAGAAGTTCATCTATTTTTATCAAAAGTTTGCTTATTCTTGGTGCGATTATAGATGTTTGACTAATATACTTGACTTTACAGGTTGTGGTTATTATCGGTAGTGGGTCGAGTGCATATGACATATCAAGAGAAATAGCAACCGTTGCCAAAGAAGTTCACTTGTCGTCAAGATCACCAGATGCTAAGGTCTCAAAAATGGACAAATTCAATAATATATGGCAGCATTCGAGGGTAACATTTAACATTTCCTTCTATTATACATTTATTTTTTCATTATGAATTTATTGCACGCGATATGGACCTTTTCTTCATGGATCCTTCTGTTAAGAAAGGTTATTTCTTTTTTAATTTGGAGGTAGCAAAAAACACTGAAACTCTATATGTATTTCTATAATTTAACTAGATAGATCATGTTTTCCAAGATGGTATAGTTACGTTTCAAGATGAAGTATCCATTAAAGCAGATACAATTATCCATTGTACAGGGTAAGAACCACAAGAATTTCCATCCTTTTGTATGCATTTCGATGATCTAATTGGTTTTTTATAGGTACAAATATCATATTCCCTTTCTTGAAACGAATGGAATTGTAAGCGTTGAAGAAAATCATGTTGCACCTACTTATGGACATGTTTTCCCTCCACAACTTGCTCCCAGACTATCATTTGTGGGACTATTTAACAAGGTGAGTTCATTGTATACTAATATTCATTTTTAATACAAGACCATTTAATTTGATTATGGACAACAAAATTAACATTAGACTCGCTATGATTGTAAAATTTACTCAGGGTATGACATTTCTTCCAGCAGAACTGCAATCAAAGTGGATAGCTCAAGCATTATCCGGGAAGGTTTCATTGCCGTCCGAAAAAGAAATGTTGCATGATGTAGAACAAGTTTACAGACAAATGGAAGAGAGGGGAATCCCCAAGAGCTACACTCATTCACTTAATCATCAAGTAAGTTTTCCCATTTCGTTAATTCATTTTCGATGTTATAGTTTTATACTTATATTCTTATTAGTGGTAATGTTGACCCCTTTATCTTAACTGTTTAATATATAGATGGATTACATGGATTGGTTATCAGATCAATTAGGAACAACACGGCCTCCACAAAAGCTGAAGGACTTTTATGCACACTTCATAGAACGTTTTCATGACGATCATGAAGGCTTCCGTGAAGCGTTTGAATACAGGTTATCAAACAACGATGGGATGTAAATCAGTTCCTTTCCGATTTATTTCAGTAGATCATCCTCTAATCAATTACAAACTATGGCTTTGGGGATATAGCGATACAAACAAGAGATATATGTTACATTTTCCTTGCCATTTTTTCACTGCTTTTGTAAAAGCATCACGGAAAACTATCCAACACTGTCTGGGAACACACTCTAACAGTATGCACAATGCAACATAAACAAGCGTTTATTTTTTTGACATAAAGTTAAATCATTGAGCTCAATGTATCAGACAGGCAATTCTTTTGTCTCGTGAAATTGCTGTTTCCAAGAGGAACAAAGAAGAGTTCGTCATGCTCTATTGTCTCTACATTTATTAATTTGGCCGGCAATGAACACCAATAGTAGAAGTTTGTTTTTGTTATCTGTATTATATTTTTGTATATGACAAATTATGTATAACTGAAACATATATTATCTTTTTAATAATGGCAATAAACGTTAACTTTCAATAATGGCAACGTGTTGACTTTATAATAACAAACAAGGAATTATAAATATAAAGGAATTTCTTAAAATGATTAAATGAAGAAAATATCAACTTAATTTTTTTTATTTATGTTCTTCAATTTGATACCAATTGAGCTTTTAGCCTTATAGATATTGCCCTCCTTCTTAATGTTCAAATCTTGTCTAAGACACATAAATTTAGAAGTTGTTTAGAATTAGATTTGTCAAGACAAAAAAACAATGCAATTTCATTATGGTATTGATTGTAAACATAATTATGGCCAAATATTATTATATTAGTTTATGTTAAGAATATATATTATTTTATATAAATAAATAAGAAATTGTCAAATTTTATATTATGGTTAGATTTTTGGGATGAATTACAAACATTTATCATTGAACCCGGTGATTTATGACGATTACAGCGATATGAATAATTTCAAAATCAAACAATATTTAGGACATTAATAAAAAACAGCCCTTTATTGACACACGAACCATGACACGTACTGGTTTTATAATACGAAAAAGTTTGTGTCCTAAAAAAAATATTAGCTCTCTAAAATTTAAAGAATTTAGGACATGCGTTTTTTGTGTGTCCTAAAATTAGTATCATAAAAAAAATACACAGAGGGTGCCTATCATAAAACATGTGTCGTGTAAGCATGTTGTTTTATAATTCTTTAAATTAACACGCATCGACCATTATCTTTATCACAAAATTCCAAGGACCGTTCTAGGGATTTTTTTCAAGAAACTTTCAAAACATATGAGTGCTCTCTGCAACGTTCGGCGACCTCAGTTCACCTCACCTCGGTGGAGACTGTGACGATTGCTCATGTTTTCAAACCTTAGGTATAAATAAGGTATGCTTTTGATTTGTTTCTCTTCCTAACGTTTCCGTTCTTCTATAAGAAACTTCTTATTAAGAATGAAACACTTGATTAGTTTGGGCCAAGAAGGTTCCTCACTCCATAATTTCTAAAACATAAAACTTCCCTGAAAATGGATAAAATGAGATGGGATTTTCGTTCTAGTGGATTACAAAGAATTCACCTCGATCTTCGTTCTTACAACTTCTTTAAATGACAATATTTTCTTCCTTACACCTAACAATCATTTTGTTGGAGGAAATAGGGTTTATGTTGGAGATCTGGATACCCCTTGGATCGTGTGAACACTTTCTGAACTGATATTTCTACCCTATGCATGTGTTGCGAGAAATTTAGCCCAGGATAATCTAAGACGACACTTACGAATCTAGGCACAGAAAACGTAAGCCAAATTGCTAGAAAGCTTATGTGATCGTTTAAAGAAGAAGAGAGCTAATAATTTTCATGTGTATCTCTTCTCAAAGAGAAGAGTCGTTTATATAATAAACGAGATTAGGGTTTCTATTAGGGTTGGCCGCCATAGGTTGCTTTGGAACTGATATTTCTATCCGAGATTAGGGTTTCTATTAGCGGGACCCCAGCCAAGGGCTATACTCCTTGGACCCCGCTAGAGGCACTGCTGTTGGAAAAGGTTTCTAAGCCCATAACTATAATTGGCATGTACTTGACCCGATAATAGCATGGTCAATTTGGGTTGCATTCATCAAAGCAATATGTTAGGAAGGATATTTGAGTAAGAGGTTAATTATGATTTATTAATATATTATAAGTATAATATATTGATTGTGGAATCATGTTATTTAATTAGTATTGATCGAGAATTAATTTAGTGATCAAAAGAGACTAATTAAAATGATACATATGGGTTGGGCTAATGATCCATGGTTTGATTTGTGATGGGCTTATGGGTTAATCCATGAAGTATTTATCCAAATCAAATGGATGGATCATGGGCTAAGGTGTATGGATTAGGGTTACACATGACCCTTGATATTCTACACATATATATGTATCTCTAAGTCCAAAATCACCACCACTTATGTTTTAAGAATGAGAACCGATTTTAGAGTCTCCATAACCTCTCCATATTCATCCTAATTGTTCTTGGTGTTTTGTGATTCCGGTTGAGGCATCACACTTGGGGTCCTAAGCTTTCTTGAGGCCAAGTTATTCAAGCTACTACACAAGGTAATATTCTAACTAGTTTTTATGATTCAAATATCACCTTGCATGCTAGTTTAGGCTTCATGCTTTGGAAAATATTTATTGCATGTATAATTAGAGAAAACTTAGATCCAACGCATTAGGGTTGTATGTGCACCATAGGATTGTTAGAGTACATAAAACCCAACAGTGGTATCAGAGCCTAGGATGTTTTCTATTGTACTGATGCAACTGTGTAATTTTCAAAGTTGAAAAAACTGCAAAATTGGATTCTACTCGACGAGTCCATGTATGATCTCGACGAGTAGATGCCTTATGATGATGAACTCGTTGAGTTCGTAAGTGCACTCGACGAGTTGGACAGTCAGTGGGCATAATCTTCGAGTTTTTGGCCTGTTTTAGATTAGGAACATTACCACAAACTGTTTTGGTTTATAAAATTCGATTTTTAATGATATGGTAATGTTAATACCCATCCAGTAATGTAACACCCCGTTTATTAAATAAATAAATGAACAAATTAATGGATGAATACTATCCCTAAAATCAATAATTATATAGCAAGGTGTTGGTCTCGAGGAGTTAATTGCTACAATTATAGAAGTTGGGGGTTAAAAGTGTAAGTTCCGTAGTGGTTTGTAAATATTTATGAAAGCAGGGACTGCTTGGTAAATTATTGGGGCTTAATTTGAATACATTTTTGGGAAACAATGGCTAACTGGTAAATTCCGGATTCAATTTGTAAAGATTTCTGAGGGCAGGGGGCTATTTGGTAAGTTTTAGACCTAAAATGAAAGGAATTTATGGAATCAGGGGCTAATGGGTAATTTTTGGACTTAAAGTGGAAAATATTTATGGAGGAGGGACCAAAAGTGTCATATGTATATATAAGTTTGGGAGTGGATACAGGGTTTAAACCCGCCAACCCCTCTTACCCTCCTTGTCGCATGCTTATGGGAAGAAACCCTAACCCTAGTGTATTCTACAGCGGCCTCCACCTTATTTCCCCACCCAAGCGCCGCCATTCCCTTCGTTGAGCCACCATCGCTACTACTCTTCTTCCGGCGATGACCAGCGCCGCAAGGGAAGTCTCTGAGGCCGGAACATCGGCGAGCAATCACTGTCATCATCCCTTCGCCACCTTTCTTCTCCTTCTCTCTTTCTGTCGCTGTTGTTGTTCGCAAGTCGCTGCTTCTCCTTCTCCGTTCTTCGGTGCAACGTTCCAGCCGCCGCCGCTAACCGCTAGTATTGTTACATCGCCACCATCGTTGCATCTGCTGCTGGCAAGAACTAAATCCGATGGGAAGGAGCGATGGGACTGTGGGAGAAGCCGGAAGAGTTGAACATTGCTGCTGTCATCGGAAACCGTCGTTACTGCTGCCGTAAGCACGCTGTTGCCGCCGTTTTGTGTTGTTGTTGTCGCCTTGTGCCACCAGGTGGGTGGCTGGGGTCGTTTTGTGAACAGATAGAGTGTGTGTGTTTATTTTAGTAAAGTGGTGTTGGGTTGTTTGGTCGGAATTCCCAAGAACAGCCACCATCACCACCACCGTGAGGTGGTGGCTGCCACCATCTACCACCACCAGCCACCACAAGGTGGTTGTGTGTGTGGGTGTGCTTTTAGCTTAGTGGGTGTGTGTATTATTGGTATTTTGCTTTGTATGTTGTAATCTGTAAGGGAATAATCAAGGAATACTCGAAACCACCACCGTAGGGTGGTGGCTGCCGCCACCGGCCGCCATGTCGGGTGACGGTGTGCTTAGTTTGTGATTGGATTGCTTTTGGAGCGCTTGGACTCGATTGGACTAGAACCCTAACCACCACCGTGAGGTGGTGGCCGCCGCCGTGAGCCGCCGTTGACCACCACTACCCGAGGTGGTAGTGGGTGGTGCCCAACTTATGAAACCCTAGTAGGCCTAATGAAACCCTAATGGGCTTAAAGATTTAGTTTTGGGCCTATTGGGCTATGATTGGGTGGGAAACCCTAATTTAGGATATATGGGCCTTGGACTTATTGGGACCCACATTTGGGCCATTGGAATGGAATTGTGAATTACACCCAATCACACCATATGAATTATCTAGTAGAGTGAGGGAGTTAATGGATTAAGTCATGAATGGGTTAAGTGAGAGACACTTAACCCTAATTGTCATTTTATGTGAAACCCTAATTTCACTTGGGCCTTGGGTTGGGCCTTTCTATTGTGTTTTAGTAATTGGGCCAATAATGGGGCATCCAAGAATGATCATATGGACTAGAATATTTAGATGGGCTTTAGGGTAAGGCCTATATGAGGGTTTAGGCCCAATTTGGAAATTGGGCCATAGATGGGTCATAGTTTGGGCCTTGATGAATATATGATATTGGGCCATCAAAATGTCAAGTGTTGGACCAAGAATAAATGGTTGGGCCTTAAGGCAAGAACATGTAGAGGTTGGGCCCAATTTGGAAAATTAGGCCATAGTTGGGCGTTGATTCATTATTAAACTTTTGGGCCTTGGGCTTGAGTCAAGCTAAGTGAGGGGTAAAGTAGTCTTTTACCCCAAGCATGGATTTATGGATATGTGTTGGAACCCAATCATTAATTGGGTGTTATTTTGATGTTGACAGATTCGGGAATCTGTCATCCAGCAGCTAGGGTTTTGTCAGCAGGACTTCAGTAGTGTGAGGTGAGTTCTCTTCCAGTAGGAACGGGTCTAAGGCCACAACGTCGGCCCGTTTAGTTGTTAGTAGTTCCGGACTACGTTCCGATGCCGGGGCGGTCCCGAGAAGAGTATATGTATGCTTGATGTCTTTGTGATTCACGCATGTTATGTGTTATGTGTTCCGAGGCAAGCCCGAGGTATGATAGTGTATCTGTTATATGTTATGTGTTCCGGGGTAAGCACGATGTCGGGGCAAGCCCGACGTATGTTAGTGTATCTG